CTATTGGCCTTCCCGCCTGAACAATCATAGCTGTTTCGAGCTGTTTCGTTGCTGGGGCTTATCTAAACACTTCAATGTCTTCATCCTACCTTGAAACATTCAGCACAGTAAGAGAGAGGGCAGCGGCCATCAGACTATCGTAAGGTGCCTCTCAGAACAGGTTGGGTGCCTACGAAAGAGTTTTTTTTTCATGGAAAGGACATCCCATATGGATGAGCGTCTTGTGATACAGGAATAGTTGGACAGCGTGAGGTCAAATGGTTCTAGAACCACTCCCGCGCGCTTTTCCCCAGTTTCTTTATAGTTTACCTTTTGACTGTGACCAATTCGAATGAATGAATACAATATCTTCCCTCTTCTCCACTTGAAAGCGTACCAATTTTTCTTCTGAACTTTTATCTAGAGCTTGCTTCTTTATTATTCTATTTACCAGTTGATGCCAGAATTGTTAATTCGATATATTATTAATCAACCTTAATCGGGCTTGTCGCAACTTTCCGCTTTATAGGTAGTGGCTCAGAATCGTATGGATATGTTGCGAAAACAGGCTCAGTCGTTATCTGCTCATCAGAGCAAGCTAGAGGAGGAGCTGGTAAAGTAAGTGTAGCATAACTGCCGTGTAGTTCTACACGTTTGCCAAGCCCCCTACCTCAACTGATTGGTGTTCTTCAGACTTGAGGAAATTCATCGCGAAAAGAAGCGTCAAATCGAAAAAGGCAGTGAAGAGTTCGCTGAGAATTTGAAGAGGGTATGTATTGTATTATTCTAATAACTTACAGAGGGGGGGGGTCGGGTTTGAAGAACTCTTTGTGCATAACCTGGGACTGCCGTCATCCGAACAGTAAGGCGGCCTTTCACATTGGTTCACCAACCCCGGAACTCCTACCTTTTAGGCCGAGACCGATGTCCTTATCTTGCGGGAATCCCATTTCTACGCAAGGAACCCTTTACATACCCCTCCCCCTAAGATTATTAGTGTCATAAAATCATTAACTTAGGAATACAGGCGAAATACAGTAGCCCACTTTGCGCGTAAAGCCGGGTGCGTAGGGGCAGCGAGTGCGCACGACACCACTCGGCCTTTCGTCTAAGCAGCCTCTGACCAGATGGAAAGCGGAATTGGCGCCATTCTCGTTTCTTATCCTCACCCCGGAGCTCCATGTATAGCTGAATTAGCCGGCTTACGGTACGCTCAGTTGCGTGCATTCACGGAACCGACACATGTAGCTTCATGCATGTTCGGGAATATTGCTCCCCCTATTTTCATAAATCTAGGTAAATCTTACATTAGCCCCACATTTCTGTTCTGTTCATAAATTTTAAAAATGAAAGCCTGCACAGGTGTGCGAAGAGAGGCCACAGTTGGACGAAGCGAAATATGCAGAGTTG